AACAGGGACGCACGCGGTTCCTCACGGTCCTCCCTGTCTTGGCCGTGCGCTCCTGTTCCGCAGGGCCAGGCCCCTCGACCTGGGCAGCCATCTGCGTGAGAACTCTACTCCTTGGCACACTCCCCTCCTGAGGCCGTGTCTGAACTCACCGCGTGGCCGCGGCTGTCACCTGCTTCTCCACGCCCTTCCCTCCGATTCCACGACAAGTGCCTTTCTGTTCTCTCTCTCACCATACCCACCTTGCTTACTGTCACGTGCCCAGCCCCGGGTTGCCCCCCAATGGACCTTTCTGTGGGTCAGCGCCACCTTCAACCTGTCCATGCAGCTGTGGCCGTCACCTAGAGAAGAGCCAGGCGGTCCCGCCTGCAAGCGTGAGGGCTCTGCCAGCCACTGCCAGCCCCGGGAGAAGACACCTGTCGTGGGGACCGTGGGAGACGCTGGCCAGAGGTGTGACATCGTGGGACACTGCTCTCCCAACATGCTCCAGGGCCTGTCCTGGCCCTTGGCGGGGTTTGGGTGAGGAGGGGGAGGGAGGATTGGTGCCAGGAGTGGGAGCCGGGCCGTCGAGGTCCCGGCAGTGAATGGTGCATTGTTGGCCAGGCTAGAGTCACAGATAATTACCTCAATTAGTGACAATGGGAGAGTAATAAATACAGGCTTAGTGTCTCCTACCCCACCAGGGCTCCGAAGATTAATCCAGCCTGACGGGCAGGCCCTGAAAGGCGTGATGGACAATTCATTAAACTCCCCAAATGCCGCACAACCTGGGCGTGAAGGCTGAGTTAGCCCCCTGGGGGTTGCGCCTTTGTCCGGATTGTGTGTCTCCGCCACAGCCGAGCCGGGCAGCCCCCAGAGCGTGGGGAGGTGAGTGGGGCTCCCCTAGCCGGGCCAGGCGGCGGGGGGATTAGGCCTTGGTCCGGCCCTGGTTGCCCTGGCACACTGGCCCAGCCTGGCTGGAATGTCCGTCGGGGGGCAGAGGGGGGGGAACAGGCCGAGCGGAGGGGCGGGGTCGACAAGGTGGGGTAAGGGGGGCACACAAAACGGGGGCAGGAGGAGTTAATTAGACCCCAGCCGGGGAGGGCGAGGGGCCACAATAGGGCCGAGGGGCCGCCAGGCTCGCCCCCTTCACTTCCGAGGATTAATAGGGAAGAGGGCGGAGGGCGGCCTTCGGGCCTGGGGGAGGAGTTGCTGGGAGCTTGGCAGGGTGGCACTGCCCCTCTTGCCCAGCTGAGCACCTTCTGGGAAGAGGTTGGGGGATAGGAGGCCCCAGCAGCCTTGGGCAGGTGGATAGCGGGGCTGCCCTCCTCACATGGCGCCTGCCTGGCAAAGCAAGGAGTCCCTCATTGTTTATCAGGGGGTGGAAGGATCAGGCAGATATGGGGCCCTGTTCCCAGTCCTTTCCTCTCAGCCACCTCGACTCCTCAGTGCCTAGAGCTTAGTCTATCCTGGTGGGCTGCCCGGTGTTGGCCGGGATGTTCTAACAGGGGGGCTGTGGCAGGGGCACCAGCGCGTGTGTATAGTCAACCTTGGCACAGGCAGGCCTGGCACAGGCAGGTGTGCCTGGGTCAGAGGGGCTGGCACCCTCAGGCTCTCAGCGAGTGCCTGGTGAACTTGTGCCAGGTTGAGAGAAGAGGCAGTGGTACCGGGCTCTGTCCGCCTGAGCCAAAAGGAAACCAGGACCCGCTTTCTGGAAGATGCACGCAGTTGCCTAGGACAAGGTGGTTTCGGCAGCGCCCCAAGCGTGCAGCCGACTCCTGGAAGCCCCACTTCCTCCTGGGCCTCAGGGCCAGGGCAGCCCTGGCTCCTCCCCAGGAGACACCCCACCCTGCCCCCTCCCAGGGGAAGACAGGGGAGCGAGTTGGCGGCCGTTCCCCGGACATATTTTTATAACTTGCTGCTCGTTTCACCAGCATCTGCTTTTAGCCCAGACGGGGGAGGGGGCAGGAGGGTGGTCTGTCTCATGCTGGGCGCCCTGGCTGGGTGTGGAAAGAGTGAGTAAGGATGAGTGGTGGGCAGCGCTGCGTGGATATTCCTGTTCACACCACAGCCAAACAGCTCATTTTCTCCTCGTTTTGTTATTTTTCTCCCTCTGGCCCAGAGAGGAGAATGGAGCCGCCCGGGGGGCCAGGGGAGGGGGCGGTTGGACCCTGGGGTATTTGCAGCACCACTGACGGGGTTTTTCCAGGGTGCCCGTGGAGCCGGCCTGCTGACCCCCAGGGACCTGCACGGCCTGCTGCCCGGGTCCTCTCAGCTTTTCCGCTCCCTCCCCCTCCACTGAGATATTTCAAGACGAGTTCTTCATTTGCTGGCCAAGGCCGGCCTCATGCCCAGGGTCCCTGCCAGGCTCTGATCCTCTGGCATCTGAAGATCAGAGGTGGGCGGGAGCCTGGAGCGCCTGGCCCTTTCCTGACAGCATTGTCCCGTGGCCACCACCCTCAGCCAGCTCCGGGCCTGTCTCTTTCTAGGCACAGATGTCCTTTGCTGGGTCAGTCTTCTCCAGCCCCAGCAAGCACTGTACAGGTGCACCTGAGACAGGCAGGAGCTCCTGTGAGGTACTTTGCAGATCCTGCAGTCCCTCCAGTGGCATGTCATCCCTGCGTGCCTTCTTTAGAAGGGGCCTTCCCACAGTGTCCCCTGGGAAGGAAAGGGGCCTCCATGCTTGAAGGCTCAGATCATGGGAGGGGGGTCTGTCCCCAAACCTCTGGCCTGTGTAGCTGGCTGTTGGTTGTGCTCGAACCCATGCGTGGCTTCCTCTAGGCAGGCTTGCGCATCCCCCGGTCACCAGCACACCTGGTGTGAGGAGTGTCCTGATGATCGGATTTCCCCAAACATTCAAACCTGTCACCCCTCTGCAAGATGAGGCTGGAGGTGGCTGAGGCAACTGAGGCTGAGGGCAGCTGTTTCTGCTGAGTGAGTGTCTTGTTAGGGGCCCTTCCTCGCTCGCTCTTTCCCAGCCCACCCAGAGCCCACCTCCAGCTGGCTCTGATCCCAACTCTTGGAGCTAAGAGTGGCAGGAGCCCTCCTGGGCTGCTTTCCCCAGACACCCTCACCACAGCTGGCAGCTGACAGCTGCGGGACCCAGCAGGCGCCTGGGTTCCAGTCTGAAATTCTCTGTGGGTGTCCCTTGCTGGACCCCAAGGCCTTTCAGGTACCCCACACTTCCCACTGAACTCCCATCAGAGCCCAGGCAGTGCTGGCCTGGGACAGCAGCCATGCTGGTGTGCTGGTAGCGTGGGGCAGCTCCTGGCTCCTCTCTGCTCTCCCCCCACCTCCCACATACCCCAAAGGGCAACAGGGGTCAGAGTTCATGTAACCAGGGAGAGGTGGGAGGCAGTGACAACTACGACAGTGTCCTGGGGAGAGGGGCTGATTCTCAAGCTGGCGGTTGTTGCCCTAGGGTTGGGGGGTGGGGTGTTTCACTGCTTCTGTGCCTCCCCCCCACCCATCCAGCCCTCCCTTCGGGTCCTGGAGGAGGAGGAGTTGGGATCAGAGACCAGTGCCAGAGCTCAGGAAGGGGTTGGTCTGTCTGAAGTTGCAGTCAGCTGGGGAGGACATTCAAGATAGAGATGGGTGTGTTCAGAGCGCTTGGGGACCCCCGCTGATCCTGCTGGATGCACACTTGGGGGCCTTCACCTCGCTAACTGTCAGTGGCTCTATTGGGGACTGTGGCCTGATGGGATGGGTATGGCTGGCACTGGGGTTTCCCTTGGGTTGCATTAGCGCCAGCCCAGCCCGCATGTGGACCCTAACCCTCCTTCTCTGAGCGGTGGGGCCTGGAGCCCCTCCTGTTACTGGGGTGCCCCCTCCCTGAGCCCAGGGTGGAGGGGAGGCGTCACCACCAGCCGGTGCCTGTCTGGAACCCATATCTCCGCACTGCAGGCACTGGACATTTCTGCATGGGTCTCTGTTCTAGAATGTGTTTCTAGCTGGCACGTGGCAGTAGTTTCAGGGAGCAGGCTGAATCCCCGTGCATGAAGGGGATGTAGGTGCCCCTTGGGCCGTTGGGGTCTGAACAGGAAGGACTCTGTAGCTCCTGGGGTACCTGCCCAGGTTCCCCTAGGCACCCTGGGGCTCCCGGGATGCCAGTGGGGTTATTGGAGGGCTGGGCATTTCAGGGCCCTGGTGCAGGCCCTCCAGCAGGCCAGTCCTCCAGCAGTCTGCTCTGCTTGTGTCAGAGACCTCAGGGTGCCCACTTCTGGCAAGGGTGAAGGTCACTGCAATGGTGTGCCCCAGACTCAAGGAGAAGTCAGCGAGTCATTGATAAAAATAGAGATTTTATTCTGCAGAGGAAGGTACTATGAGGACGGGGGCGAGGAGCCACTAATAGCTACGATGGAAGGAAATGCTGATTCCAGTGGGCCAAGGCATCTTGGAGAGGCAGGGAGGGGGCCAGGAGGGTCAAGGGGATGGCCCCAGGGGAGAAGCTCCGCTGGGCTGGGCCGGGGTGAGGGGTGGTCTCTGCAAGCCAGGCTTGAACCCAGCACAATAAATAGTTTTATTTACAACAACCAGATGCGTGGCATCACGTCCACGTGTCAGTGCAAATTATTTACACACTGAGGAGGAGGCAGGACAGGAAGGAGGTGGGAGGCGGCCGCGGGAGGCAGGGCTCACAGCTGTTCCATGGCTTCAGGGCAGAGGTGGGAGAGCCGGCCCTGGGTCTTCGGGTCCACATCACCACAGCCGCCCTTCACCCGGCACCTCCCCGGCAGTCAGTCAGCTGCACGTGGGGAAGAGAAAGGCCCTGGTGCCCGGGTGTGTGTGTGTGTGTGCGTGCGCGCGCGCGCGCAGGGTCTGTACCCCTGGCCCGAAAAACGTGGACAGGAGCGCATGGAGACCCGGAGAAAGCCGAGGTCCGCGCCAGAGGAGAGAGGCCCAGAGGCCGCTGGCACCGCGGAGCAGGCAGAGTAGCTGACTCGGAGTGGCGGAAGAGCCTTCTCATGCTCTCACCTGGTCAAGCAGGGGGCAGTGCAACAAGGGTGTGTGTGTGGGGGGGGGGGGGAGTATCCCGCGGACAGGGAGGGAGGAGGTAGGTCCGGGGCGGGTCCCTCGGGAAGGCCAGAGGAGAGGATGCGCGCCGCCCCAGGCAAGTGGTTGAAGGAGCCCCCAGGAAGGAGGAGGTGAGAGAGGTGTGGCGTGAATGGCGGGAGGTAGCAGGTGGGGCGCCTCCCAGCGAGTCAGCCTTGGGGCGCGGGAGGGGAGCGTGCCCGGGGGGCGCGCGCGGCGCCTCACAGACACTCGTGCAGCACGCGCGTGTGCGTGCAGTTGCGGCAGCTGACGTGGCAGCACCAGTGGAAGGTGCAGTTGCAACGCTCAGTGACGCTCTGCGTGCGCGTGCGGTGGCCCCGGCCACAGCAGAGCAGTTCGCAGCCGTCCAGAGCGGGCGACGAGCTGTTGCACGCGCGCCCTGCGGTGCCCGCGGTGCCCAGGCGTCCGCTGTACGTGCAGAAGTTGGGCGACTTCTCAAAGTAGACCAGGTCGTGCGGCGAGGGCGGCTTGTGCGCGGGGTCCTCGGGCTCGAGGCGCAGCAGCTCCGCCCGCGAGGCGCGGTTGCTGCCGCGATTGCTGTAGAGCACCCGCGAGGCACCGTCGAAGCGGTCGCGCAGCACGTCGCCCACGGCGCGCAGCGTGGGCAGCCTCATCCAGCACGTGCGCACCGTGCACGAGCCGGACATCCCGTGACACTTGCACTCCTGGCGCATCTCGGAGAACACCGTCTGTCAGGAGGAGAGAAGAAAGGGTGTCGCCAGGGCATCTCCACCGGCTCGGATACCGCCCCCTCCCGGACGCCGCCGGAGGCCCGGGCCTGGCCAAGCCCAGGGCCAGGGAGACGCGAGGTGGACGGGCCCAGCCTGGCCGGGCGCCCAGCCCTGCTCCATGCCGGCCGGTGGGGTCCCTCCCGGCCTCCCCGCCTTACTTTTTGAGCTGTAGGCAAGAGGGTCTAGGACTGCACAATCCATCGCTTCTGTTCCATTTGCCACTAGCCCTCGACCGGCTTATCAGGTTTCTTAGCCTGGCGGCCTCCCAAACCCGCTGCGCCCCCAGGGACGCCCTCTCGCCTTGCCCCGCTCCCGTAGCTCGCGGCTCGCAGGGTCCACTCACTGTGCGGCCCGCCTCGTTGTTGTGTAGATTCACGAGGAAGCGCAGGTCCCGCCCCTTCTCTCCGGAGTCCACGAACTCCCGGCCGAAGAGACGGCCGAAGTCGATGTTGTCACTGCAGCCGCCCCAGTGCCAGTCGGGCCCCCCGGGGCCGCGCCGCCGGTAGTCACAGGTGCAGGACTCAATGGAGCCCTCGGAGCAGGAGCGCGCCACAGAGTGGGTGACCCCGGCCGAGGTGATAGCAAAGATAAAGGCCGTTTCCCGACAACCTGTGGGTGCAGGGCACAGGATGGGTGAGAGTGCTCTTAGGGAGGTGGGGGAGGGGGCTGAGACAGCACCCTCGCGGCAGCGCTGGGCCCGGGTCGTCTAGAGAAAAAGGTGGAGAGTTGCGTGACGCGTAACCGGGGCTGCGCTCCTAAACGACCTCGCTGATGATTCGCGAAGAGCGCATTTTCGATTAGGAGCTCTAATAGAAAACTCAAAGGGAGGGGAGCAGGAAAAACTTTTGCGTCTCCGAGTTCTCTGCCGCCCAGACTCGCCTACGTCGACCGAGCAGCCTTGCCGGGTAGGAGGCAAGACGCGCTCGCTCGGCTCCCGAAAGCAACAAACCCGGCAGCGCCGTGGGTGGGGGTGGGGGAGAGGCAGCCACCCGGTCCGCGCCCACGGCCTGAAAACTCCCTTTCTCTGGGGGCAGCGGCTCAGCAGTCATGCATGCCTAGAACCCAGGGCGTACAGCTGGAAATGGCCTGCTGGATGGAGCGCGCCCTTGAGCCCGCACCGGGCCTGAGGCGCCGCTGGGCAGGTGGATCCCGCGATTGGAAAGTGCCCTGGACCTCTTTCCTGCCCTCGCCTGCCGGTGCCCTGGGGCGTGGGGTGGGTGGTGCGGAGAGGGTGGAGAGTGAGGTAACTGCGCTCGCTCGCTCCGCTCCCGGAAGCGTGCGCCTGGCTGAGGCACCCACCTCGGTTGACGATCTTGCCGAAGAGGTGGGGCCCCGGGGCAGTGGGGCAGTTCCAGCGGCGGTTCCGGAACTGCCACTTGCACTCTCGGACGGCACTCTGCAGTCCCCCGCTCACGCTGTGCAGGATGCCCGGGTTCTGGCGGATCAGTCGCCGCTGTTTGCGGCTCAGCAGCTGCAAACTGGGTTCGAGCACCAGCTGCAGACTCTTGGAGTCGGTCAGCAGGTTCGTTGAGGAAGCCACGTTCACGATGCCCCTGGTGGAACGCGGAACGCGGAGCGGGAGCTCAGCTGCAGGAGGGGGGCCCCAACCGGACTCTAGTCCTCTGCCCCGGGGACTGTGAGCAGGGGAAGAGCGCGCAGGGAGCTGCTTAACAAGGTAATGACCGTCCCTGCCCTCTCTCCAGGCATCCAGATCTCCCTGTGCCCGCCCTGAGCATGCCTGCCAGGGATTGGTTAGAAGAGGCGTGGGGAACCGCAAGCTGCGCCTCCACCTGGGCTCTCCCATCCTGCTTCCTGTCAATCCACCCCCCCAGCGAGGATATCCTGGGCCGCACATCTTGCCCACTCAAGGCAAGGTGGCCCACCACCCTCCTTTCCAAACCTGGCCCTTCCCTTTCCCGGATGGGGAAGCCCTGTGGTGCGGATGCCAAGGTGAAGCCTGGATTAGGGCTCAAAAGGGCAGAAAAGGAGCTGGGTCCCCTTCCTGTGTGGGGGCCAGAGAGAATCCCAGCCCACCGCAGGAGAGCTGTCGCAACACCCGGGCATCCTCGGGTGTCTTGGAGGGGGATCCCCCGAGAGGGGAAGCTTGGTAAAGAGATGACTCCTGGCGCTGGGCCCCGGGGGGCAAGTGGTGACCCTCAGCGGCTCACTTACCACCATCGGCCACTGCTGTTGGCGGTCAGAGCTGCGGGTAAAGCGGCCAGCGCCAGGAGCAGCGCAGCAGAAACGCAGCCGGGCAGCAGCGCCCAGCGCCCCATGGCCTGCCTGGTTTTGCCCACGCTGTTGCTTGCAGTTGCGGCGGCTTAGGCGGCTGCCCGCGACGGCGGGGCGGGACGCGGCAGTGGCCAAAGTTGGCGCAGTCTGGCTTTAAGGACCCTGGAGGCGGGCGGCCGGCAGCATGGCTCGCGGTCCCGGCTGGTGGGCTGAGACGGGCCACGGGCGGGCGGCACCGCCTCTTATAGTTGCGGCGCTGGCTCCAGTGACGAGAGGGAGGCTGCCCCGCGGGGTCGCACTGTGGCACCAGGGCGCACCGGTCAGGGCGCAGACAATGGGCGGCGAGCGGGGGCCCCGGCTCCCGCCCGTCTGAGCCGAGCGCTGACGGGCTGGCCGTCGGGGCTCATCCCCCGCCCCCCGCCCGGTGGCCCCCGCCTCCGGGCCCGCACTGGCCGCCGACCCCTCCCCTTGGGACGCCCTCCCACGCGCGCCCGCCTCACTGCGCCTCGCGGCCGGGGCGCGTCGGGGACGAGCGTCCGCCAGAGGGCGCGGCGACAGCGTGCGCGCTGCGGGGAGAATCCGCCAGCCGCCCAGCGCGCTCCGCCGCTTGCGGTGGGGCTGTCCCCTCGACGTCACCGCGGGCCCAGGCGGCGTCCCTTCTGTCTCCCCCGTCCTGAGGGGCGGAAGGAAAGTTGTGGTGATTCTGGTCGGAGACTCCTCCGGGGAGACGCGTCCCCGCCCAGGAACCCCCGACGGCTGACGGAGAGGCGGGGAGCGGGGGAAGAAAAGGAGTGGACTGGAGGGGAGGGTGTATGGGTGGGGCTGTGGTCAGGGAAATCCCGGTGTGTGTGTGTGTGTGTGTGTGTGTGTGTGTGTGTGTGTGTGTTGGGGGACTGCTGGAGGGGGCGCTTGAGCCCAGCGGTGGAGAGCCGGTTTGTACATGCGGGCCCGGAGCTCAGGAGTACAGTATATGTGACTGCGTGTCCCGAGGGGGCTTTGCTCTCTGTGTCTGCCTGTGCAGAAACTTCTTGTTCGGAGAAGATGGCTGGAAGCTTTCCAAAGAATTTTGGAATTTAGCTCGGACCAGAAGAGATCCAGTCCTCCTGTCACAGGGTGGCCTGGGGCTGTGTGTCAGGAAGGCGCTTGATGGGGCGTCTGGGACAGTGTGTGAAGGCGGTGGATGAGTGAGTGCAGGGCAGACTAAGAATGTGTGTCTGTGTCACCCTGTCGCCCTGTTTACCTTGAGCCACCTATGGTGTGTCACACTGGCGGGTGTCGCTGGGGGAGGGAGCCGAGCTGTCAGCTCTGCAGGAGACATGTCAGGTGTGAGGGCAAGAACAGAGGCGGCTGCTGGCTAAGTGAGCCTGCTGTGTCTACCTGGCCTCTTGCTTTCTCTGCCCCATTCCTGTCTTACTCCAAAACCGGTTTTCTGCACTCTTTTCAGATCTTTGCTTTTAAAAGGGAAAGGCAGATTTACAGAAAGATCTTTCACTTGGTGGTCCACGCCCCAAATGGCTGCAGTGGCTGGGGCTGAAGGGATCCAGAGCCAGGAGCCCAGAACCTCAGCTCGGCTTTGGGCCATCCTGGACTGCTTTCCCAGGCCACAGACAGGGAGATGGACGAGAAATGCAGCAGCCGGGACACCAGGCACCCATGTGGGTTCTAGGCTTGCAGGTGGAGAATCCGTGAATTTTTTTTTTTTTTTTCAGTCTTGCCATTCTGAGTCGCTCCCAGTCCTCCTCGATCAGGAACCATCTGCGGGATGTGCGCCTCCCTTCTGTGTCCCAGGGACTCTGGCTCAGCTGCAAGGCCACCTTGGCCTTCTCCGGGACACTTGGCTGCTGTGGATGGGGCACAGGAGGTGTCACTGCACACAGAAGCTCTCCCTCTGCCCTGGTGGCAGAGGAGACAAGAGGGCAGGCAGTTGCTGGAGCCCACGGACGGCCAGTGCGTGAACTAGAGCTCGCAACTAGAGCTCGCACAGGCTGCGCCCACTTCCCAGCCACCTGCCGGCCGGCCGGGGGCCCCAGCTCAAAGTGGACACGGGTGGAAGAGCTTGTGAAGACCTTCCTGTCTTCCTTTCGACTCCTCTTTCCTTATCTTACGTGTCCTTTAAGATGCTTTCTGACTGTCACATCTCAGGGTTTTTTTTGGCTAAGATCAAGTGTGATGGTTTTTTGACTCATTTACCCAGGCCCAAACACCAAAGAGTATGAGAAATGAACAGGCTTTCCTTTGAAGGCAAGAAAATCCTCCTGAGGGGCCTGCCTGCCTTCGTTTCTCCTCTCCCTCCCTCCCGCCCTCCTTCCTTCCTCCCCTCCCATCTTCTCCTGCTCCATACTGAGTACCCAGGAACTATTAATGTAGGTGACCAGCTGGGCACACTCTGAGAAATATTGTTCGAGCTGAGGAAAGTTTGTCTTAAGCATTTAAAGCCTTGAATTCATTTTAAAAAATAAATATATGTTTATTTATTTTTAAAGATTATATTTCTTTTTATTGGAAAGTCAAAACTTACAGAGAGAAGGAGAGACAAAGATCTTCCATTGGCTGGTTCACTCCCCAGGTGGCTGCAATGGCCAGATCAGAGCCAATCGGAAGCCAGGAGCTTCTTCCGGCTCTCCCTTGCAGGTGCAGGGTCTCAGGGAAGCGGAACAGCTGGGATTAGAACCAGTGCCAGTATGGGATACTGATGCTTAGAGATGAAGGGTTAGTCAAAAGAGCCACCCTGCTGGCCCAAGCCTTGCATTTTCAGAGATGTGTGTTCATTCGAATGAAACCTGATGGAGGTGTTTTAGAGGCTCTCATTCCTCCCGGATCTTCTGCCCCAGCCGAGCTATCTGGTCTCTCTAAGAGCAGAGAACCCCTGCTGTGGACAGCCAGCCAGGCAGACAGTGCCTGGGGCTGGGGGAGCCTTCCTGTGTCCTTTAGTGCTGTCTGCCCCCTGAGGCCTGGAGGGGCTGATGAACCTCACCTGGGTGGGGGTGGCTGAGGGACAAGGAAGCCCTGGTCCGTGGCCACTGGCATGAAGTAGAGGTAGGGAGAAGGGAAAGGAGAGCCACGTCCTTCTTTTGTCCACAATTCTAGCCTCCAGGAACAGGGAGGAAGTGAGGAAAGGATCAAGGCCCTGGTGACACTGTGTGTAACCTAGCCCGGTTTCTGGCAGATCATGTTACCGGTACCACTTTACCAACACCTGCCCCAACCAGCACCAGTTTACCTGCCTCCTGGGACACACCCATAAACACGGACACACGTTGTGGGAGCTGCCACTGGATGGTCAAAACCGCTTCATCCCGCTGTCCCCCTTTGCTGTAATCACACCCCCATTTCTTGTCTTCAGTCTCCTTCCAGCACAGTTGCGCCTTTGAACTCAGGACACCTGCTTGGCAAATCAACCGTGAGCCTCCACCACGTCACCCTTCCCCACAGTCCTCAGTTCTCATCTCTTCTTTCTGAGCAGCCTTCTTGAAAAACATTCCCGTTGGGTTCTGGACCGCTGTTTCTACCTCACTGGCTGCTCTCTTTATCTGATTTCTCTTCATTTATATATAATTGTTGAAATCCTGGCACACACCCAGGTTCAATCAGCCTTTTCTCTGTCTACACAAACTGCCTCGGTGAACTCTCTGGTTTACGTCTGTCCTTGAACTCTGGACTTGCGTGCGCAGTGTTTGAATTAGCTTCTGCCGCTTTCCCATGCTTGTCTGACACTGAACCCTTGGTCAGTCTTGTCCTTGTCACTAAGTGGCAACTCCATCCTCGTGGTGACTCGGCACAAAGGTCGCAGTCATCCTTGACTTACAGTCTGTGTCCAATCAGGTAGCAAACCTTGTCCTACCGTCTTCAAAATCGAGGCTGACCTTAATCTAGCCTCACCACTCGGCTGCTCCAACACTGGTTGGCTCCACCTGTGTCCCTGCTTCTAATCCTTGCCTCCCCCGCAGACACAGTCCCCTCACAGCAGAGAGATCCAACCCCGTATAGAAATCATACCATTTCATTCCTCTGCTCAGAATCCCTTGATATCCCATGCCACTCAGTGTCGAAGTCACGCTCTTCCAGCGGCCTGTAAGACCCCTGTGCGCTCTGCCCTAGCCCCTGAGTCCCCGGTCCTCCTTGGTTACCACTCTCTCCATGGAGTCCTGCCCTCTAGGCGCACTGGCCTCCTTTCCCATCCCTGGGCCGTGCCGCTGCCTGCTTAATTCCCAGGATCTGTGCACCTGCTCAGCTGTTTCCGGGAATGCTCTCCAAATATTCATTGCCTTGATTCCTTTCCCCCTAGCTTTATAAAATAAATGCCCCCCCTCCCCAGCTCCTTTCCCTCTGCTCTTTCTCTGCATCACTTTTGACCACTGATAACTTTAAAGAAAACCAGTTGCAAATTTCTGCTCTGTGCTAGGGATGAGGAGTGGGGCGGGGACCTTGGGATCTAGGAAAGGGAGCCTGGGCTCAGGGTTGCAAGTTTGTGGTCGGGGAAGCCTGCTTTCCTTTCAATCACCGGAAGGCAGCATTGGCGCATTGGGTTGGAAAGGCAGGAGCGGGGAAAGGCATCGATTGTCTAGGGTGACACCCCAGAAGATGACCGGCGGCGGCGGGGGACAGTAGGAGGGCTTGCTGCATCCCACACGGTCTGGCGGCAGACCCTTTGGCGCCTCCGGGTGGTGGCCCGCGATGCTGCAGGCAGGCTTGGGAGGCGGAGGGCTGAGCAGCAGAGCTGAGCTCACTGCTTTAGGCGCATCCATCCCTCCTGGGCCTATAATTTGGGTTCCCCGGGCTTGGCCACCCCTATCAGCGGCTTAGCAACAGATGAGTCACCCGGGACCCCGAGCCAAGGCAAACATGGGGGGTTGAAGGAGGAGGTTCCCGAGGTTGCGCCCGGCTTTAGCCACCGCCTCAGTTGCTGGATCCCCCAATCTCCAGGGGCCCCCTACTCTTCATTGACCCCCCGCCCTACGGAGCCCCAGTGCTCTCCTCACATTGACATTGACATACAGTGCTACCTGATGAAGGAGGAACGACCCTGGGCTCCTCTGCACCGCATGCACTCCCTGCCTGCCCTGTTGACAGCCCCCTGCTTGCCCCCTCCTGCCAAGGGCCCAACCCTTGTCAAGGTCTCTCTGGTTCCCGCCCCTCCCCTTTCCTGGAGCTGGCCGCGTGCTTGGGGTATTAGGCAATGGGTGTGCACCCGTAGCCTTCTCCAGGCCCCGCCTGCCCCACCGCCCTTGAGCTGCCTGCGGGTCAGCGCTCAGGCCAGCCGGTCGGGCTGAGGGCACTGTGGGCCAGCTCAGGCCACCCAGTCTGTGGCCTCCTGCCCCCTGAGCTGGGTCTCTCCAGGGAAGAGGGATGAGGCGTGTGGATGCTGAGGTTT